GTCGCCTGTTCTATCCCCGGCATCTAGTTTTGACTAGTCGCTTGTTCTGTCACCGGTGTCTGTTTGGGATTCTCCCTGTGAGTACCTTGTGCTGTAGAATTAGGATTCTCCGTTAGTATTGCTGTGGAAGATGTAGGTTTCCCAGACGATGGTGGTATGAAAGTTGCACGATTCCCGGATGGCATTGGTGTTTCACCGAAGGTCTGTACTTCCAATTTATTCATTAGTGTAGCGATTTGCAAGTCCTTTTCTTCAATAGTCTTTGTGAGGTTCTCAATGGAATGAGCCATAGTTGCTAATTGTTCCTCCACCGTAGCAGCTCTAGTCATCATAGCAGCAACCACATCTAAGTATGATAGGCCTTGAGAATCCATGTTCCTTGAAGTGATTAATTGCTCCGAAGTCTGACGTGGTGACTCTGGGGGTGAACCGACACTAGAGTGAGCATCATAGATAGAACAAAGTGAATCTGGTGGTGGAGCCTCCTCTAGAACAATGTCAAGGTTTTTGACATGTTGAGTTTTCACGTTCGCCTGTGTTGCAGGATTAGTTTTCACCACATCTTGCTGAAGTTTAAATGACGCCATCGCCTGGGACTTGCTACGTGTCACAGGGCCCGTCAAGGTACTTCCATCGCTTAATTTGGTCTTCGTGCCACTTTTCATGGTGGCTTTAGCGTCGACCTTTGCAATAGCGATGTTCTTTTGGGCTTTCTTGTCTGTCTGAATCTTAGGGGGAGCCATAGAATCTGATAGAGAAGAAACTTGATGGTAGAAGAAAGAGATGAGAGGCAAAGGTTGTCCCACCGAGCGTGCCACAAATTTGTACACACAAATTTTGTAAGTCTGCAATAGAAACAAAATATAGAGCAAAATAGAATTTTATTAATTTATGAATGTGGAGTATAGTCCTTTGTAATATCTTTTACAAAAAAAGAATGGTCCTCTGATTCGATCTCCTTGTTTTTGGTTGGTTGGATCCAAGGGCTGCACGAGCTTATTCTTGAATCACTGTGGAATTTGATGAAGAACGGCATGTTGTTGGATGTGCTTGATGTTCTTCGCTTTTGGGTTTCGATTCTGAATTTGTGTCTAAATTCTGAGTCTCTAGATTTCTGAGTCTCTGAACTTCTGAATTCTGAATTTGTGTCTGAATTTGTAGACTTTTGAATTCTAAATCCTCTCCCCCTTTTTTTCTTCCTCCAAGCCTCTATTTATAGGCTTCTTGGATTAATAGGATGATGACACATGTCATCTCCTGATAAGGATAAAACTATAACTGGGCCGGGCCGGTTATATTGTGATAATTATCCTTAAAGATAATTATTCAAAATATATTTTATTAGGAATAATTATCGTTTCATTTAATTATCTGGGCTGGGCTAATTAAATAATTTAAGTGGACCAAGCCCGGTAAATTAAATAATTTATTTAAACATTAGACCTATATTTAATGGGTCCATTCGTTAAAACCAAAGCACACTAAATTTTAGTGTCTACAGTATGTAATTAAAGTACTAAAAGAAATCAATTTTACAAAAATTATTCGGCATTACATGTAGATGGCAAAATTCTCTATTCGGGTGGGGTTCGCCCCGTCCAGTCTTGTTAGGGGCGGTTTTGGAGTACCAATTATATAAATGAGATGGGAATGGAGATTACTTTGAAAACTTGGCGGGTTTTAAGATGATTATGACACTGGAAAAATTAAACCAAAATGAGGATGAAAATTAGATCCCATCCCAACCGTCCTAAATGCCATCCCTATTTGTATGGCATACAATAATCCCAAACTCTCCGCACAAATTATTACCTTAATGCTATCAATTAAATTGCAAAGCTAATGCCATCAAAGGAGGAGCTAATAGATCAACACAAACTATATATGTTCTTCAAAAATTATAATATAGAACTTGTAACCGTCAATACAAACTATCTATTATTAATAATAATTAAATGGAAAATTAGACTTTGGTGACCAAAATTAAACAAAATTGGTGTGAAGTGACCTTAAAGTCAAGAAAAGATGAATAGTCACCAAATCTAAAACTTAATTGCTAACAAGTGACTATTTGATGGTTATTATGTAAATGTCCTTCTTATAATATATTATTTTATAAGTGGACAAATTTACCTTATACGTTAAACCCAATAAACACGTGCTTATTATTTTAGCATCAATTGATTATAAATGAGAAATTTTTGAATTGATATGATCCTTTGGTTATATGTCACCAAATCATACAACAAGAAGGTCACAAATCCAACTTGAGGGAAAGCACTAAGGGTTTGTTTGGCTGGCGTGAAGTAGGTAGAAAAGAAAAGAAACGGAATATTTTTTTAATTTTTTGGAGTTTGGTTGCCCGGAAAGAGAAAATTTTCGGCAAAGTGGATTCCCGTATCGGATAAATTTTCCTAAAATATTTTCCCGCATAAAACACAAGAAAGTATACTTTCTCACTCGAAACTGTCATTTAATTTCCAAATTTCCTATTATGCCCCAATTGAATTGTTTCTCCAATTTTTTTCAAAGAGGTTATTAAGTTATACCATCTATTTACTAGGATACATATTTGGATTCATCATATCTAATACCGTCGTTGCCTAAATTTTTTTAAAATAAATTAAGAATTGAGTAGTTGAATTATATTACTTTTAATTTTTACCAATATATGAGAAGACATGAATTAGAGTCATATGGATGGAAATCAAAATAATATTTATTTTTTATTATCTATACAGTTTTGAAACTTAATAGAGTTTTATACTCGAATAATATGTTATTTTTGTATAAAAAAATTTGCATGGTTCATAGTCATAACATATGGTAGTGGACCGATAAATTATGCATGAAACAAAAAATTATTATGCATTAACTATAAAATGTTACTTTTGCATGACCAATTTTATCCTAGAGTATTGTCATTTAGTGTTTCCTCGAGGGGCTTGCAAAAAATATTATATTTAATATTTCAATAAAAACACGAGTATGTTATGATAAATGAACTACATTCTACATATGAATATAAATAATTATTATTTAAAACACAAAATAATAAGAATTTGATAACTAAAATTCAGTCCTCCTTAGTTTGTTCTAATTTAAATATGAATATAAATAATAATAATAATTATTAATAATCCATCATTTTACTATTTATTTGTTAAAAATTAATATAAATAATTAAGTATAAAGATGATTCATCTAACACAAAATTAATTTATTTTTAAATATTTGAAATTATGAGGGTAGTTTTGGTAAGTAAATCATTTTCTTTTCTTTTTTATGCTATCCAAACTAGCAAAATAATATTTTTCCACAACTTTCATAAAAAAATTTCTAACTAACCAAATGCATGCTGGAAACTTGATTTTCCTTTTTTTCACTTCACTTTCTTTCACTTTCACTTTCCATCATACATTTCTGTCTAACCAAACGGACCTTAAAACAAGGGCTCGCAGCCCTAAAAGAGCCTTGGAATGACAAGAATGAGTGACCACAACTCTAGTATGATAAAAGAGCCTTTCTGTAGCTTTTACCCCATCCTTTAGCATGCACTAAGGTCCCTAAGCAATACCAACCCACCATTGCAGAAGACTCGCTAATGGCTATAGAAAAAAGAATGCAAAAGGATGATATATTAGGGCAATATAGTCGGAGGACCTCGCCCCTTAAATATTATATAAAGAGTATTTTGGGATTGAACTTCCAAATTATCCTTAAAAATTATTCTTGATTTGCTACTATAAATATTTATGTTTTGCGGCCATGGTGATAAAGAAACCTTGTTTTTTTTTTTTTAAATTGATAAATTGCAAACTAAAAAGGGAAAAAGAAAACAATGAATGAGAGAGAGAGGAGTATGTTGAATCGAACGATTTATTCTTTGAATTGGATGGCAATTTTGTCATGTAAAATTTATTTTTAGAATGTTTATCATATCTTTAAGTTTGTTGTGACCAAATTATCCTTAAATGGTCACTTACTAGCAATTAAATTTCAACATTAGTGACTGTTTATCTTTTCTTGACTTTATGGTCATTCTACAGCAATTTTGTTTAGGTTAGGTCACTAAAATCTAATTTTTCCATAATTTAAATTGCAAAAGCTAATATATGCTATCAAAGGAGGAGCTAATAGATCAACACAAACTATATCTGTTCTTCAAAAATTATAATATAGAACTTGTAACCGTCAACACAAACTATCTATTATTAATAATAATCAGCAATCGTCAATTTTAGTGTCCTAATAATTAATAAGTCAAAAAGACTTTAAAATATTGGGTGAAAAATATTATGAATGGAATTAGTATAATCTTGGGATTCCAAGTACATATCGATCAGAATAGTATATCAAAAAGGGTCAAGCATGTATATCATGGCTCAGTCATTCATCCCCCAGAGTAAAAGAAATTGGGGCATTAAAATTAATCCAGCCTCAACAAACACTTTTTGGGGTAAGAAGGCAGCATATTAATATTGTGAAAAATTTTCAAGGGCCTTACAAGAGAGAGCTCCACAAAAACACAGTGCGGTTGGCTCGCTCCCGTTGCCCAACCCTGTTGTCCGATTTCAAGCCGTCACACTTTTAACTTCTAATCTAACATTCTTGCTTAAAAATAAAAAATTGAAGCACACCAACTAAACAAGCATAGCAACACATCGGGAAATTTTTTTCATGATGATCATTTCCTTAAAACAATGATGACTCTGTGATGAGAACCATATCATACGAGCAGTGAAAAACCAATATTTTGGTCCTCCGATTTGGAGGACAAATCATTATTCTTTTCATAATCGTATAATGTTTAAAAACAAAAATTACCACATCAAATATAAAATACCAATTGAGAAAATTTTGATTGGATGTTTCAAAAAATGTCACCTGGTGTCCCTTGTTAAGAGATACACAGCAATACAAGAAGAGTTGTTCCATACATTAGAGTGCATCCTAAGGACATCTCTTGCTTGGTTTTTCAAATATTTTTCGGAGTCGGCTTAGAGCACCATGCAAAGCTTTGACACAGCTCCAACCCTCAACATCTCTAGAAGAAGTTGATGAGTCGCACAGAATCTAGAGTTCAGCATAAGTTTGTGAATCGCCCGATCATCTGTTGCCGGAGAGACTCTCAGGACCCTTTTCGACACCATGGCAACACCGCCCGCGTGACTTAGAAGTTGCTCTCTCCCATCAGCACAAGAACACAAGTGAGCCAAAAGGCAGAATATGAGTTCAGTCACCTTCTTCTCAGGCTTATCCAATTCAAGTTCAATGAGCTCAAAAATCGCCCCTGCCTCGACGATTTTCATCCTGTTTCTCCCCCAAGGGCAAGCTTCTATTAAGATGTGCAAGATAGCTTTCTGAACTTGTTGATCATGAGAAGTTCTCTCTCTCAAAATCTTTACTATCTGCTTGAAGAAATCGAGCCTTAATCGCTCAAGCACATTCGAACTCACAACCTCCAAGATCATTTTCATAGTTAACAGGGAATGGGTTTTCACCTCCACATGATTCTCAACATGATCACATCCCAAAGCCCATATCATTGACTCAATAAAATCAAAGTTTTCTTTAACCAACTGCTTGTTTTCAGAATTCGGAGTCCATATAAGATGTAGAACCCTAAAAGCTTCCTCGACACCCTCAAATTTTCCTTCCTTGAAACATTTCACTATCAACAAAACCATCTCTCTTGTCACGCCCGCTTCCACCATGCATTTCCCGTTCTTTTCGTTCATGTTGGCGAGTTCTTCCATTTTCTTTAACGAATTTACGCAGAGGTGAGGCACTTTAAGGTCTCGAACGAGTTTACGAACATGAGACCTGTTGAGAGGGGATTTCAGGGTAGCAATCCGATCTACTCCATTGTTGGCATTGATAATGCACCATGCTTGGATGAGCCGGCGGAGTGTGATGTTTGGCGTCATATCAGAGTCTCTAGGCAAAGGCCGCTTCGTGACCGGGCACGTGCTGTCCTCCGCCATCAGCAGCCAGTGCTTGATCCTTTCCCGGTCATACGTGATGCCAGTCACCACCGTGACAGGATCTTTCATGATCTGAAGAGATATGGGACATATGAAATACTGAGGAATCCATCTTTTTCCCAACTCATCAAATCCATCTTTTTCAACTTTTCAAAATCCACACACATGTATCTCAACCCACATTATGTCGTGTATGAAAATGCTTCAAATGCAATCATTAACTACTCATCATGCTTCCATAATACAATAGACAATTCTATGGTCACAACCAGATTAATTGACAATTATAGCATGCTTCGAGTGTTGAGAAACGTGCAAGTTTTAAAACTTTTTGAGGGATTTTGATTCATAGATCTTGATTCATTACATAGAGACAAGTTTTATGCAAAAATAAATTATGATGTATCAATCAATTAATGGATTGAATACTTACACCAAAGATCTGAGTAAACCTTTAAATCTTTCCTCTAAAGTGAATTTTCTCACTTATTGTAGATTCCTTTTCCTAGACACTTTTCCATGGATCTTCATCTTCTTGGTAATGGTCTTGCCTTTAGGAATCACTCATAAGCCTCCATGAATGACCTTGGAAAACTAGGCTTGTGGAAGCCTCCATTAGATGAGAACACTAACCCTAATTTTCTAGAGAGAGAAAATTTATTCCTTTTTCCTTCTTCCAAAAATCACCCCTAAAATATTCATAGACTATGTATATTTATAGGCAATATAAAGGTAAAGAAAAGGAAACAACAAATCCTTCTCAATCTCTAATTCACATGTCTCAAATCTAATATGATTCCAATATCAAGTTGGGCTATGAGTGAGAATCCATTGGGCCTATTATTTTATTGGCTACAATGAATTAATAATTGGCCCGATCCATGGACCCAATTCAATTAATTCATAAATTAATTTCTACTCCACTAAAAGAAATTAATTGAATTTCAATTAAATAATAAATAACCACTAAGTCAATATTGCACTTTGACCCCTCTATGCATAATTAGTTATCGGATAAATAAAGCCATCAATCCGACTACTTAATTAATATATTTATTTTAGTACCATTGATTATTTCTGGCTCGATCACAGTAAAATATTTGTTTGACAAAAATAATAATTTAAATAAATAATTATATAATAAATCATTTTGTCTAAAAATACACGAAGGCCTTCGAATTTACTTTGTGATCAACCATAATCAATACAAAATAAATACAAGTAGCAATGATGCAAATATTAAAAATATAACCCTCTAACTATTAATTACATAACTACCCAAAGTGTCGGTCTAAGGATCCCGAAGAATCCGCTGAACAAATCAAAGTAATTATTAATTAATAAAAGAGTCTATAATTTTCTCATGCTTAAGAGTCAAATGCCATGACGAAGATAGGGAGCAATTGCATGCGACGGCTCTCGCAATATATCTCAACCTAATGCGGATCCAGTTCAAGTCTTAATTAATTATGAGTCCATCTATAATTACCGACTATGAACCATTTATGATTACTATTTATATATCATGCATTGATTGTCATCACATGCAAATGGATACTATCAATTCTATAATATCTCTTGTAATCAAATGGATACTATCAATTCTATAATGAATCGAAATATAATACATTGAATTCACCAATTGTATAAAACATAAATATTTCAGAAATGTCAGGAACATATGTCACTTTAATCCAAACAGGAATTTGCTATGCCAGGGCATATAAATCCCAACAGCTCCCACTTGCCCTTATAGCCAATTCAAATTGCACCTAACTCCAATGTTATCCAGATGATGATCAAAATTATTGATCAATGACACCTTTGATAATAGATCAACAAAGTTGTGTTCCAATGCAATGTTCTAGCTACAAGTACATTTTCTTGCCGGACAATATCATGTAGAACATGATACTTCCTCTCAGTGTATCTTGTTCCTCTACTACTTTTGCACTATTGTCACAACATAGCTCAATAGGCAAGCTAGTATACTCCACAACCTCTAAATCAGTGAGATCAAACCAATAGGCTTCCTTTGCCGCCTTTAAGGCTGCAATATATTCCACCTGCAGGTTTGAGTCAGCAGTTGAAATCTGCTTAACAATCTACCAACTGATTTCGCTTCTATAAATGAACATACACTAAGTCATGAACCTCATAGTATTTACTTCTGATTGAAAATCAGAACTAGCATACTTGACTAGGACCATATCATCACATCCATAAATGAGTATGAGATCATTGGTTCTCTTTAGTTACTTAATGATATTTTTCACAACAGACCAGTTATTAAGTCCAGGATTGGACTAATATCTACTGACTATCCCTACTATGTAGCGGATGTCCTGTTTGGTATAGACCATGGCATATATGAGACTCTCATATGCCGAAGCATATTGTTCCAGTCTCATTTGCTCAATCTCCTTTGATAGTCTTGAAAAACTACTTACTAGAGAGAGACATCCATATCAATAAAGTAAGAACTCATTCTTTGAGTTATGCATACCAAACCTGTTCAAAACTTTATCAATGTAGGATTATTAAGATAAGCCTATTTTCCTTTTAACCTGATCTTGTAAAAGCTTGATCCTAGGAATATAGCTTATATCTTGAAAATCCTTCATTTAAAAGTAATTAAACAACTACCTCTTTACTGATTACAAAACTTCCACATCATACTAAATGAGTAGGATGTCATCAATATATATAGAATCAGAAAAATAATGACATTCCCTTGTACACTCATGATTAATTCACTAAGAAATCTTCTGGTATCTTATTGTAGATTAACTTACCTTCCATAGGAATCACCCTACTAGAAAGTTCTACAAGATCCCATAATTTATTAGAATACATAGATTCCAACTCTGATTTCAAAGTAACTCGCCAAAATGATCTGTATCCATATCGGTTCACGCTTTCGTGAAGCTTACTGGGTCCAACTCATGTTTAACAGGGATGTCCATAATGGTCTCACCTAAAAACATGATTCTGTCGGATTGGATGATAATCCTCCCACTATAGCAATGTACCGATGCAGGAATCTGTGTACTAGATGATGCTAACGCATCAATAGGGAATTCATCTATTATTCTTAATCTCTATAATAAGTGTGTTCATATGTGGTATATCTGGTACTCATACCATATTCTCTAACATTATTCTACTAGGTATATGATTCATAATATGATCCTCCGAAAGATAAACAGTGAGTGTAAATAATCAACTTTTATCATTTAGATCATAAAATAATCCATTCTAAAGCTTTTTAGAATAGCTATCAAATCTATCATGCGTATGATCTGTTTCCACTTACTTGTCTATATCAAGCGCACATGTGCAAGACTACCCCATATGAGCATGCAATTCAAACTAAGATATAGTCAAAAACACAGCTCAAAGGTACCCTTGAGACAGACTAAGATGGAATACAATTCATAATGTGCATTGATATCGTCAAAGCTAAACTCTAACATGAAAGAGATAATGTAGCATAACAGATCATAGATCTAACCATGTTAAGCGGAATTCTGTTATTCCTTTTTGACACCTAAATCCATTTAGCGTCAATTGCGGAAAACCTGGTACACCACACCCTCATTGACCATATAGTCTTTGCACTATCCCAAGAAATACTCATCTCCACGATCAGATCGGATTGTTTTGATAAGTTTACATAATCTGTGCTCCACATCAGTCTTGACACTTTCAGAATGTACCAAAAGTTTAAAACTCGTGTCGCATCAGATAAATTTATCCAAAACGTGAGTAAACTTGCTCGGATGTTTATAAGACTACACGTGTCTGTGTGTACCGACTCCAATTGTTCTTTATGTATATTTCATTTGGCTGATTAAGCCCTTAGAATTATCTATCCTTCAAAACAAGATTCACAAGTTTGGATTAGGCTCCTCTACCTCACTAGGTAATAAACCTTCTTTGACCAATCTTTGAATCTCATTTTGATTGATTACAACCCAAAAATAGACACTAAAAATACAATGAGTCCCGAATAATAAATTTTCTCTAAACATTAAATCTAGAAGATACAACATTAGTTTCTACATCCTGCAAATCTTAAGAGCTTGTGATTATAGTATATTAACCATCTTTTAATGCACCAGAAACAATCACATATCTATTCAATTTTATAAAACCAGTTTTACAAAATAACAATCCAATTTTTATAAACCACAAGTGAAACAAGAATTAGATAGCGTCTAACTTTTGTGCATAAAGATAGTTCTTTAATACTAATATCCTCATACTCTCTAATTTCAGATGTAATACTCCCACTGACTTAGCTACAACCTTGCCATCGGGTCAAGTACAAATATATTCCATATCATCGAGGCTTCTGGATTCCTGAAATCCTTGCAATGAATTACAAACATGTTTAGTGGCTCCAGAATCTATCCATTAGGAATTAATAGATACAACCACATAACATGGCTCAATGATTAAATATATATTTTCCTATGCCACGTCATTGCTTAGACAGTTCGTCCTTGAGTGTCATAGTTAGCGACAATAGAAACAGTTTTCTTCGCCCTCAACATACACTGCCTTATTCCCTTTAACCTTTTTGAATACCCATATTTTGTGCTAGCCTAGTACTATTCTCATCCTTCTTCTTTACTTTGCTCTTCCACTTGGGCCTAGAAGAAGATGGTATAGACTAGGTTAAATTAATAGGAACGCCTATACTTTTGATTATCCCTTCATCTGTTACCAATTCTATAAGAATATCAGCGAGTGTGAACTCAAACTAATTCCTTATTTAGTTCACTCTAAAAAACCGAACCAGTTTGGTAACAAGGCAAAAATCATGTCAATTTGAAACTTACCACCCAAGTCAGCCCTATTGATCTCCAGCTAATTTTTAAATAATAAACAATCATTTTCCAAAATTCGATTTCATACTGGAGTTCCTTAGGCTATATTGATGCTATTCAAGTCTGACATAGTACTTTGGCATACTCTTTATCTAATCTCACCAAAATATCTTATTGACATTTAACATGATACTTGAAGAAAATAAAATAATATAAATGTTAGCTTTGGAGCGT